ACAACTGTGAAATGTCCTATTGAACGACGTTGTGGTATAATGGCGCAGGGGAGGAGGGAAGGTGTTGCTCATTATTGATGCCAACTTCGGAGCTAAACAAAAGATTAAATGCTACTGAACAAAACAACAACAACAACAACAACGAAAATCAAGCAACGAATAAATATCTAAAAAAACGCAAGAGGGAAAGATAGAAATTAAAAGGTGAAAATAGCTTTGGCATCATTAAAGTAATAAGTAATGTTTATGTATTGATTAACTCGACTGTTCAATCGAATAGTTTTCAGATCGTATGGTCATGGGCCATTTAATCCATTTTCCCTTGTATTCTCTCAGAGCTTGTTTTCTCATTTATTGAATACATTACACGACAAACGGATCAAAGTGCTTACATTTACACGAAATTTACCTTTCAGCTCCATGTTCAGACCCTGGTGAGCCAGGGAATGGAACAAGAATTGGAGATGACTTTAAGCATGGGAAATTCATAAATTTTACATGTGATGACGACTTTGAACCTGTTGGGAAAAAAACCATCCAATGTTTGGATGGAAAGTGGAATCACAAGATACCCCAGTGCAAAGGTAAAAGATGTATTAGATAGGAACGACAATGGTTGTTCTATGATTAATAAGCCACAAAAGCAATTCAATAGGAAAATGTGAAGGGAATGGAAGATGTTGTTCATTATGGTTCTATAGTTAAATGAACGATTAATCGTTTACCTCGCAACGTGGAGTCAGGCTATCAATCGCATTAACCGCTTCGTTTCGACTTCTACACCGCTAATCTTCGTCAAGCGACGAGGATGAGAGTTTATTATTTTAATTTTTTTTATTTAACATATTTGTAAGTTTCAAGATACGAACCATTTTGTTTTTTGTCAATATCTTAGATTAGTAAATTATAATTAGTCACCCTGTCTTTGATAAGTTATGTATATGGCCCTTTTTCCTAGAAATCTCGTGCGGAGATCCAGGAACACCAACAGATGGAAGGCAAACAAATGTCGTCAAAAACTTTGCTTTCAGAGGAACAGTAGAATTCCAGTGTGATAAAGACTACACCTTGCATGGCAAATCATCTCTTTCTTGTCAAAGGAACAAGACGTGGGATGGAGATGTTCCAAAGTGTTTAGGCAAATATCTCTCTATGTGATTAAATATTTGGGCATTCAGAAGCTTAAGAACACGATCAAACTGTTTTGTAATGTTGAAAAGCAATATAAATAAGCTCGAAACGATTTCCTCATTTCATAACAAGTTATCACTTGATGGTCATACACTTCCATAATTTCTCGGTAGTTTCCATTGCAAAAGTACAACTTTTCGAGAACACGCTTCATTAAGTCATGGTGCCTTCGGCTAAAAATGAGTTTTGTAGCCCCCGCTCTATTTATTAGCGATCGAGATATCGATTTTTATACTGTGATACAATTGAAAAAAAAAAGGTCTCACGCTTTGTAGTTTAAGCAAAAAATTCAAGTGCTCGGTCAAGCAGGTCAGAAAGAAAAAACTATTTTGGGGAGGTATGATAACCCCTTTTGTTTTTAGTGGAAAGCGACTGTGACTGAACGTTCTCCAAGCATCTGGTCTACATCATTGTACTGATATTCCATATAATTCTCTTTAAGGATGATTAGTGCAGCTATTTAGCTCGCGAGCTGCTTTCACTCACGCTCATAGGGTATGATTTTAGACAAATGCTGTTATTTTCATTTTTTTCTATTTGGCATTCTTAGCATCCTGCTCCCACCCTGGTACTCCACTTCACGGGGAAACCATTGGAAGTGCTTTTGAACACGATTCAGTCGTAAATTTCCAATGTTTACCCAACCGTGTTTTAGATGGCGCCTCGAGGATGAAATGTAACAACGGGCAGTGGGACGCACAGCTCCCAGCATGTAGAGGTATGAAAGTTGTCTTATGTAATTGAATATCGTTGATTTGTTAGAGAGCTAGAAATTGTAAAGAGCAATATGGCCGTGATATGTTTGGTGCAGTATAGTAAGTAGACGCTAGTTGTGAAGAAGCAAAAAAAAGTGTAGAAGTCATCCGATTCGTGTTATGGTAAACTTCTTCCAAACGCGACACTGTGACAGAGAACTGACACATAGTGAACGATGGGCTAAGCTCAAAACGTCAGCTATAGAATCTCTCTACAATGGCCAATTCAAATTTTCAACTCAACTGATTATATCAGATCATCTTGTAATACTTCCCGACGACTTAGCACCACAATTTCTTTCGAAACTTACCACCCTTAACGCAGCATTGAGAGTCCTCGAGAGGTTAACCGGGAAATGACCAAAATTTTTATTGGTAAGAGATATTTATTTTCCTCATTCGCTCTTACGGTTGATTATTGTTAAGACACACTCATCCATAATAACACGAGTCCGGAAAAATGAGCGATATACGAAAGTGTAGGACCACATTCGCCCGTCCCTTCGCACTCCGCTTTGTTAGAAATGCACAAACATAGCCGGTTGTTTCGTTTGAAACTTCAGAAGCACGGAGTCTAGAGCCTGGGTTACATGCTTAGGCAAAAACTCAGTGGAGCGAGAGAAACAATGTTTCGTTGTCATGTTAAAGTCTCTTCAATCGGAAGCCTTTAAAATGGAATTAAAACTACAGAAACTGGCGGCAACTTGAATTTTTGAATTTGTAGCTTATAGCTCATTGTCCACTTTATTTTTACGTTTAAGATTGCGACGGACCCCTGAGCACCTCCAGCAGACCTATCAACTGTTCAAGGGGAGGAGATCTGAGTTATTTAGAGATAAACCTCCAAAAGGAAAATACTATTACGGCAGCAAGTATCCAGCTGGGAAAAGATAAAGGAAATGTTAAACAGATTCAAATAAAAATGCGTCTTTCCAGCAAATGGGTAAACATTGGCCAACCTTTCAAGGTAAAAACCTGATTACAACATTTCCTCTTATATCCCGTATTTTTCTGCTCTGGACTGTGGAAGAGTGATAAAGTGAAATATGAAAATTTGACAATCAAGTAGCATAGTCATATTCGCTGGCACAAGTATAACATTAGATTTTTACACCAACAGCCATCTTTCAGTGAAGGAGTGACAACAATGAAACTTCCTCAACCGGTTTTTTCTCAGTCTTTGCAAGTTCTGCTTATCACCAAACAGGAACTCTCTAGTTGTTTAACACCGACATTATATGGATGTGATGCAGTACGTCGAGGTTAGGCTATTTAGTTCATAGATGAATTGTATCTTTAAGTTCTCTCTCCAACACTCTGTTTAGATAAACATCCACAAATTAAAATGGAACGATTTCATGACTGAAATGTAGAAAATTAAAACGTCTTTTCTTCTAAAATCACAGTCATCAGCATTGATGGTTGCATAATGTATTAAATAAATCTTTTATACGAGAAACTGTTCCGAGTTCAGCTTGAAAATCACCTCATTTTTATGCAATAACTATTCGTATTGTTGTCTCGCCTCACGTTTTGCGTCCTTGTCTTTTTAGGTTGTATCATGCCAGGCTCCGCAGTCCTCTTCAAAGAAGGAGGAAAATATCGTAAAGGGCGTTTTGGGTTTGTCTCGAGTAAGGGGTTGGAAGTCGTTGCAGGAAATCGACCCAAATATTTAAGCAAAGATGACATACTAATTCTTGATGAGAAACCTAACGTCAACCAGCTAACTGAAGGCACTATAGTCATTGGAACAAATTCGCGAGGGAAAATAAAGAGGGGAAACATAAAAAGATCGTGCAGTTCCACTTCCTGTCCTATTGAAACAAACGGTGTAGAGTGGCAGAGCAAATTAGAAAACGTTCGATTATTCAAAGGAGAATTGTGTAAATAGTTCACGTTCATATGTTATATAAAATGTCTGAGCGGATGTTGGACTGTATTGAACAATCTTTCACTTTTGACGGGCGCAGAAAAGGTGGCCTCATGCTCACTCAAACCCTACTTATAATTTAAAGAAAGTAGACAGCTCCTGAGTGTGCTACTGTGCGTGCTCTTAGATTTTTCCGTTTTTAATTTCTCTGTGGAGCATAGGACCTCTATTGTAAAATTCCTATACTCAATGTGTTGTAAG